CTACTGGGGATTTATCCAAAGAAAAGGAAATCATTATATTGAAGAAATATCTAAACCCCCATGATTATTGTAGCAGCATTTACACTAGCCATTATATGGAATCAACCTAGGTGTCCAACAATAGATGAATGCATAAAGAAAATGTGGTGTATATACACAAACACAATGAAATACTATTCAGCCGTAAAAAAAGAATGAAATCTTGTCATTTGCAGCAACATGAATGGAGGATATTGTGTTAAGTTAAATAAGCCAGGAACAGAAAGTTCAACACAGCATGTTCTCAATCACGTGGGAGCTTTAAAAAGTGGATTTCATAGAAGTAAAAAGTAGAGAAGAGGATACTAGAGACTGAGAAGGGTAAGGGAAGGAAGGGATAGGGAGAGATTTGTTAAAGTGTACAAAACTACGGCTAGATAGGAAGAAGCAGCTCTAGGGTTCTCTAGCGCTGTAAGATGACTATAGCTAACAAGAATACATTATATAGCTTCAAATAGCTGAAAGGAGGATATTGAATGTTCCCAACACAAACAAATGATAAATGTTTGAGATGATGGACGTGCTAATCCCTCTGATCTGACTGCTATACATTATATACCTCAAAACATCACTGTGCACCCATGAATACATACAATTAGTTTTTGCCGATTTATAAAAATGAAATTTGTAAATTAAAAACAAAAACAAGCAATGGAGAAAGTGAAAAAAAGGGAAACAATAAATCTTAGAAGCCACATGAGACTAGTGTCAGTCTCTACAGAGCTGGAAGTGGGTAAAATCTGTCCTCACCTTCTCCAGCTTCCCTCTCTGCTCTTCCTCCTCTGGTTTCCTTTGTGAACTCCTCTTCTACAGGTCACAAAGGATGAATCTTCTCAGGGTTTGGTCCTGTGCCCTCTTCTCTTCTCTGTACATTCTTGGGAGCTTTCATTTATCCCCACAGGAACATTGTGTCTTATATTTACTGAGAGCCTATTGGCCCAGGGCTTACAGTTCACTGGACAGTCACCTGAATGTCCTAAAATCAATACATTCCCAAATGAAAAGCTCACCTTCTTTATGAGCCTCCTTTTGAATTCCTCCTTTTAGATTAGTGGCATCAACTTTTCTTTACCTCGTCCCAATGTGCAACGATTCACTAAGTCTTATTGATTATATTTCTGAAATATTATTTTTTAAATGTGTCTTATGTCCAGAGCTCACAATCTCTGTTAATTCTAAGAGACAACCTTCTAAATAAATGACCTTTAAATCTCTAGGAACTCTCTCCCAAACTCTGCTTTTTTTTTTTTTTTTTAAACACTTTCCTCAAAGTTATGTTTTAGAACTCAGATCTAATCATGCTGGTTTTTCTACAAAAATAGATAAACAAAGAACAAAAAATTGGTAGTTTGGCTGGGTTCGGTGGCTCAAGCCTGTAATCCCAGCACTTTGGGAGTCCAAGGTGGGCGACCATCCTGGCTAAACAGTGAAATCCCCGTCCCTACTAAAAATACAAAAATTAGCTGGGAGTGGTGGTGCATGCTTATAGTCCCAGCTACGCGGGAGGCTGAGGCAGGAGAATCACTTGAACCCAGGAGGCAGAGGTTGCAGTGAGCTGAGATCGCATGACTGCACTTCAGCCTTGTGACACAGCAAGACTCCATCTCAAAAATAAAATTTAAAAAATTGGTAGTTTGACATATTCTTGACATATTCCATTTCTTTTTAATTTTATAAAAAATACATTCGCAAATCATGTGATTTTCTATTACATATGCTTAAGATAACTATTTTCAAAGTAAAGAACAAAATCAAGATATATGATGAGGGTTTATGCTTGCCTTTAGTAGTATTAAATAGGATTCCCTAGTAACACTCATTATCATTATTAATATAATACTAGATTTCCTAAATCTTTCCTAGACCATAGGGAACTTAAGTAATATAAAATCAATCCTACCATTTTGTGCTAAGCCTTGTATATTATCTCTAATCCTTAGAACATCCATGCAAGGTTGAACTATTCCTACTTTATACATGAGGACATTGAGGCTTAGAGAAGTTGAACAACTTGCTCAACATTGCACTGCTGGCAAATGACCTGATGGGGATTTGAGTTCAGATCTTCCATTGCTCCCATATTATTATGGAATGTGTTAAAGTTGTTATAATCCAAGAGCTTTATTTATACTTATGTCAGTTAAAATATAGCTTTTGGGCCAGGCACGGTGGCTCACGCCTATAATCCTAACACTTTTGGAGGCTGAGGCAGGCAGATCACTTGAGGTCAGGAGTTCGAAACCAGCCTGGCCATCATGGTGAAACACTGTCTCTACTAAAAGTACAAAAAACTTAGCTGGGTGTGGTGGTGGGCACCTGTAATCCCAGCTACTTGGGAGGCTGAGGCAGGAGAATTGCTGGAACCCAGGAGGCAGAGGTTGCCGTGAGCTGACATCACACTACTGCACTCCAGCCTGGGTGACAGAACGAGACTCCATCTCAAAAAATAAAATGTGTGTGTGTATGTGTGTGTGTGTGTGTATTTGATTATAACAACTTTAACACAGCAATGCCTGCCACAGATGAGAAAATTTGTAATGTTTCCAAAAGACCATCGTTTTAAAAGTTTCGACTCTCAAGGAGTGTGTTCTGCTATTTGAAACTTGATTAGAACATAGATTCATCCATATAGCTACTACCCTTACAATAATACAGAGGTTGATGGAGGTGAATGTTCTAGACTAGCAGTCAGTTGTAAATATTCTTGCTGACAGTTAACTAGAAACACAATATTCAATAAAGATATTATATAGCCACTAAAACTCAAAGCACAATTTTAAACTGATCTTTACTTGATGAGTTTAAACACAGAATCCTACATAAAAGAGACATCTTTGGAAAATAATATAACCAACTCTATTTTCAAATAGATTTGCACATTACTGTTTGAGATTTTGAAAAACACTGCACTGAAAAAAATCCCTGTGTACCAGTAACAAACAAGATTCTAATTCTGTACATACTGCAGTTCTCACAGTAGGAGCAGAAGGGAAAAAAAAGAAGAAGAGAATAAAAATAAGGGGGAGGAAAGGGAAGGATGTGGAAAGAAAAAAAATTGAAAAGGAAAATAAAGAAGAAGAGGAAGAAGTAACAGAAGAAGAAAGGGAATGATGGAAGAAGAGGAAGAGGAGAAGAAAGAAGAAGAAAAGAGGGAGGAGAATGAGAATCTGCTATGATACTCTAACTCCAGATAACCATTTGGAATTCTGTTTGCAGATCTTTGAGACACCTCCACGTTTTTCTGAGTACTTGATTTACATCGCTTTACTAGACCCTACTTGGGGCCAGATCACAAAAAAAAAAAAATTACTAAGTCATCTCTGTCACTAAATATAGACACTGCCACCAGAGAGCAGACTCTGTACAATAAGTTTGGGCTGGCCTCATTAGAAGTATGAAGTTCAACTTACCAAGAGTGGAAATAGAACTAATATTTGTTGAATGCCTACTAGGTTTCTGGTCTTATGTTCAGTGCTTTACATTTATTTTGTCACTTGTATTATTATTACATTATTATCATAATATTATTTTTCTTTTATTGGTACATAATTTTACATAGTTATAAGGTACTTGGGATATTTCAATGCATGCATATGTTGTATGCATCTCTTGTTAAGCAAATCATGGTTATGGTACACTCATCACCTCAAACATTTACCATTTCTTTGTGCTGAGAACCTTCCACATCTTCTCTATTAGTAGTGATCTTGTCATATACAATAAGTTATTGATAACTATAGTTACCCCATTATACTATTGAGGACTACAATTTATTCCTTCTATCTAACTGTATTTTTGTACCCATTAACTAACCTCTCTTCATCATGCCCTCCCCCTACCCTTCCCAACCTCTGATAATCATCATTCTGCTCTACCTCCATGAGATCAAATTTTTTAACTCCCACATAAGAGAACATGCAATATTTGTTTTTCTGTGCCTGGCTCATTCCATATTATCATAATATTATTATAGCCATTTACAGATTGGAAAACTGTGACTTGGAGAGATTAAGTAACATTCCCATGGTTGCACCCAAGTAAATGGTAGCTCAGAATTTAATCCTGGTTGACTCTTCGTATGTTTATCTCCTACCTCACTGCCCTACACATGTATGTTGTTTCTTAGTGATATATTTTAAATAGCAGCTCAAACTTCCCTTCCCACTACTTCTCTTTAAGGAGAAGAGCTGATGTGGGTAGAGACCAAAGTCAATGCAACAAACAAAATGGGATTGTGGAGTGAAGTTTTCAGTATAGGTCAAAGTCTCTTGTGTCTATTTTGCTTGCTGCCTTGGATTCCTTCTTTAGCCACCCATTCTTGGCTTCTCACTTGCCTAGACTTAAGTACAGTGTGAGCAAAACTATTTGAGGGGAGGGATAGCCATGTGTGCTATTGTCCGTGGTCCTGAAACAGCATGCACATTATGGATTGCTTCTCTAGGAAGTAGATGTGGCTATGGACCTGGAATAGGGACACCAAACCTAGCAGAACCAGATGTGATCAAAGGAAACTGAAGCACAGAGTTGATGGCTTAAACAGCACTGTCCAGTAGAACTTTCTGCAATGATGGCAATATTCTAATTCTGCACTGTCTAATACAGTAGCTACCAGCTACATGTGGCTATTAAGCTCTTGAAATTTGACCAGTAGACAACTAATTGTTTAAGTTTATTTAACTTTAGCTAATTTATAGTGAAATAACTACATGTGTACCATATTAGACAGCACAGGTTAGATCATCAATACTAAGCTGTTTACTGAAAACACAAATTCTTGGGTACCATGTAAGATACACTAAAATCAGAATCTCTGAGGTAAGCTCAGCTATGGGCATTTTTAACCAGGAAGTTCCTGTGCTTATTGACATTTGAGAACCAATATCCTACCAGGCATTTGTGTCAGCCTTCTAAAAGTCCCTACCTGTGCCCACTAATGCCTGACACTTTCACCTCGTCCTCAGGTTCATCCCAACTTAGCGTGTTTAATAGCCTCAGCCTCACTGTCGGCCTTGCCTTCAAACCTGACACCCAGTGGCTCAGGATGGTTGCAAAGCTTCCACAACCCGCCCCCCACCCTCCACCTGCATTCCAAGATTCCTTGAAGACCAACTTTAAGGGCACTCGTGACAGGTAAAGTCTACACACCTGACTAACACTGCCCTGAGCATAGTACTCCCAAATTCATATGCTGTTTGTCCTCCTCTTCCTGTATTTTTGTCTAGTCCAAAGAAATAGGCATTTGCCTTGGTGTCTGCCTTCTTAAGCCTCCTGTCCTCACCTTAATCCCCTTAGTTATAGGGCTAGTTCCCATTCCTCTGCCTCAGATGGATCCTCATCTCCATAATCTCCCTCTATGGTCAGGGTGTATGAAAAGCTCTCATGATCTCTACCCTTCTGACTTTCAAATTAACTCACCTAGAATGAACCTCTATGTTCTGAAGAGTGACCAATTTATCCATCAATTTGGTAAATTTTTGAAATACTGAGCGTTGGATTCGCAGTTCTCTGTAGCTGAGCCCATTTCTCCAAGCTTCACATCTCTTCCCCTCCCAACTGATCCCGTTACCCAGGTCCCAGCATGCTATACTCCTGAGTGCACCTGAGATAAATATGTTTAATGTAATTATGAAAGCCAGAGGTAAAACTAAACAATTATTTCCACGACCGTAAATTCAATGTCTATTAAGGTTTTCAGGTACATGCCTCCCCATCACCATTCCCCAACTGCCACCACCCATACACACACAGAAACACACCATACAACATTTACACTGATGTAACACTTCAAAAATAATTTCCCAGGTATTGTCACGTTTGACTGACAGAGTGTATAGATTATTACACTAATGGTCTCACATAAACGAAGCCTCTACCCTCAGCATCGTTCCTTCTTTCATTGACCCTGGGCTTGGCCACGTGACTTACTTTGGCTAACAAGATATCAGCAAATATGACACAAGGAGAGGATAGGTAAACACTTGCACATTGGGATTTGCCTTCTTGAAAGCATCGTCATTGTCATGTAAGAAACTTGGTCTCCACTGCAGAAGCAGCCACCCAAAGAACTGACGCATTCTGCTGATAGTCCCAGTTGACTGCCATATGAGAGTAAGGCCAGCTTGGATCATCCAATTCCAGTCAAACCCCCAGATCACTGTGTCTATATGAGGGGCCCCAGGAAGGATCAACAAAAGAACCACCCAGCTGAATCCAGCCCAAATGTACGCAAATAAATTATTGTGTTTTAAGCCATCAAGTTTTGAGATGGTTTATTACTTAGTACCAGATAACTGATATACAAAATGACTCTGAGACATAGTATTATTATTCCTATTCATGAGTTAGGAATGTGAAGTTCAGAGATATTAGGAAATTTATCCAAGGTTCTAGAACTAGAAAGCAGCAAAAAGAGGCCCAGAACTTCAGATCTGTCCCCAGGTTCAGCACTTCTGCACTATACTAGGCTGCATTTACACAACCTCCGCTCAACTAGTAAAAGGTCACTGATAATCCTAGTCCTCCCAGATCCTATTTGCTGACCTAGTTACCGACCTCCAGCACCCCTTTATTGAGAAAGAGTCTGCTGCTGGCTCCTTCCTGGCCTGCTAGTGAGTTTGCCTTGTTACTTTCTTTCTGCAAAAACTAAAGCCAGGAATCATTTTCAGTGAATCAATTGAATACAGCTAGTAGAAACATAAAAAGGTAAGACCTATTTTATATGAAAAATTAATATTCTGGTTTGCATCTTGATTTAGAACATCATAATGGAGAAAAATGGGAACAAACTTACATGGCCTGGATGAAAACAATAAGAATTATCAAAGGATTAAGAGAAGTTAATCATTAGTCAAAAACAGATTTTAGAATTGAAGTTCTTATTCATAGAAAACGTTATGGTTTATGTTAATTCCTGAGGAAGGAAATTGATTCAAATGACAAAATTGTGAACACATGCTAGAAAACTGGATAAAAAATTTAAATGGAAATCTCGGATAAAATAGAAGGAATAAGGCTCTGCCAAATGTACAATGAAAAATCTCATCTTTGTAGGGACATGGATGCAGCTGGAAACCATCATTCTTAGCAAACTATCACAAGAACAGAAAACCAAACACCGCATGTTCTCACTCATAGGTGGGAACTGAACAATGAGATCACTTGGACTCAGGAAGGGGAACAACACACACCGGGGCCTATCATGGGGAGGGGGAGGGGGGAGGGATTGCATTGGGAGTTATACCTGATGTAAATGACGAGTTGATGGGTGCAGCACACCAACATGGCACAAGTATACATATGTAACAAACCTGCACGTTATGCACATGTACCCTACAACTTAAAGTATAATAATAATAAATAAATTTTTAAAAAAGAAATTAGGTACAAAAGATCACAAATTGTATTATTTAAATTATATGGAATATCCAGAATAGCCAAATCCATATAACTAGAATGTAGATCAGTAATTTCTAATGACTGAGTGGGGAATGCAGAACGGAAAATGATGGCTAATAAGTACACGGTTTCTTTTTGGGATGGTGAAATTTTGTTTGAATTAAATAGTGGTGGTGGTTACACAACTCTTGAATATCTGAAATCACTGAAGTTCACACTTTAAAAGAGTGAATTTTATGGTATGTAAATTACATCTCATTTTTAAAAATCTAAGAAGGGGAAAAAATGAAGAAAAAAAAGATTCATCCTTTAAGTAAGTCTTACTCAAGCTTTGTCTCCTCCAGTAAACCAACCCTCATCTTGCCCATATGACATGCCTTCTCCAAGCCCATTTGGACAGGAGTTGATTATCTCAACACAAAGGTTTATGGTGTAGCTTGATCAGAAGTAATACAATTGATCATCTCATGAGATTTTTTTCTAAACCTTTTATTCATTTACTTTAAGTCAAATATTGGTTGGATACATTAGGTATTCTTACATGTCCTTAAGTTGGGGACAAGTAGCCCTGACAATCTTATCACAATGTCATGTAATTTGCTCACTGTCCTTCAAAATGCTGCCATGCTTTTTAATCCTACTGATACTTCAGTGGGTATAAGATTCTGGGGAAGTTTGTATCACCATCTTATGATACTATAGGCATATATTCAAGGATTAATGATTAGAAACAGATATATGGTAGCTAATATTTTTCTCAAAGAAAGCACCTCTCAAATTTGACACTATTGTCAAATTATTCCATTTTGTTTTTAAGACTCAATAATTACAGACTAGCTGAAAAATTTTCATGAGAGTTCTACTACCAAGAAGACATACGGGTGAATCACATCTACTTTCTGCCATGAAATGTTTAGTAGAGACCAAACTCTTTCCAAAGGGTCAGTTGCAGGACAAAATACAGAAAGACAAACTATGGATGTGTTTGACCACTACTCTGTGCCCTTTTTGCTCAGTCACATTTCTCTTAAATTTCCTTTTAAATAATGTAGGATACATTATCAGTTTTCTGATTATCTCTGTAATGAATAATTTCCCATCAACCAATATTTTATGAATTCCTTGTATGCCATCATATTCAATCAGGTTCTGTATCTTATAAATACAGCTCCCATAAAAAAAAAAGAAAGAAAAAGAAAAATCTCATCTTTTAAGATATTTGTATAGGAATTCTCAAAAGAGAAAGAAGATGCAAACAGGTTATCCTTTATTTCTTCCCCCAATTTTTTAATCACATCATCATAACCACTGGGATAATTCACAGTTTATTCTAAATGAAGCAAATGACTTGTAAAAGTCCCTGCTTCTCAGCTAGAAGTATGTTTGCTATGAACAAAAAGCAACTTAACCAGTCTTGCAAGTTTTTGATTTGAGAGCCCAAAACAATTTTAAAACTAAAATCTTCATATTAAATGTTATTTTGCAGGTGGCAGTTAAACAGTAAGAAAGCATCTGGCATAAATTAAGTGAACAGATCACCAAATCATCTGGAAAACAAGTAAGTCTTAGTGCAGTGATCTAAAGTCATTATGAAAACTGACTTGTCCACAGAGTTTGAATGACAGAATAGATAAAACACGTGAACTCATACACAAGCTTTCTCTGAACAAATTAATTAGCTTTCCTGCAGCCCTCCATTCATGCCAAAGAGAGCAATCACACAAGTGAATCAAGCAGCCATGCATAGCCTTGCTCAGTGTTTGTTTCAGGAGAACTTGTGTGCCCACGTAATTTCACGCTAGGAAGGAAAACAGCATGGGATAGTGGGAGGATGCTGCAGCCTTTAACCCATCACTTAACCTCTGGTGGCTCACTGTTCTTATCTCTACAAGGTGGGTAGAAAAACCCGTGCTTCCTACTTCACAGAGGTGTAAGCATAAAAGATGTAAACAGACTTTGAAAAAGTTAAAACAGCTGTGGGAATACAAGGTGCTTTATACTTGAAGAAGAGTATAAAAAGGCAGAATCTGTGATGTAGCAGCAGCAATTCTACCACCCAGCCACAAGGCTGCTGGTGATGTCTCACATGAAAGCAAAGGCATTTTAAAACACAAAGACTCAACAGAGAGCAGAAATGAAACAGACATGCTGTTTGCAAAAAATGATTGTGTTTAGTCTGGGGTCTTCACATAAGAAAATAATATTTTGAGAAATTGCCATGTTAAATTTAAGCTGCTCTTGGGTGACTTCAAACTATGAAATTTGCATGTAGCCCATGAGTAACTCTGTCCTAGAAGAATTCCTTGAACTCTCTTTCATGACAATAATCTTGCAAAATCTAATTTAACTCCATTTACAAAGACTTAGGCACAAGGTTAACAATAATGAATCAATGGTTTTTTTATCCACTTTCTGAATAATGATTCTCTTTCTTCTGCATAGTACAAGGCTTCTAAATTCTGTTTACATATAAGCCACACATTTTTCCCAGCTACTTGGGAGGCGGAGGTTGCAGTGAGCCGAGATCACTCCACTGTACTCCAGCCTGGGCAACAGAGTGAGACTCCAACTCAAAAAAAAAAAAAAAAAAAATGATTGGGTACTGCTTTGCTCTTTTTCTACATATTTACAATACTTGTGTTTGCTATAGTTATTATTAATCCTACAGTTATTACTAACCCTAGCCCTAACCCCATCAAAAGTATTATCAGACATTTCATATTCTGGTTGTCAATTGCTAACTAGTAATTAGTAAAGTTTTCCCCAGTATAATTTCAAATTGGTATCCGGACTTCTATTTCCATCAGTGTGATGAATAAAGTACCTGCTTGGTCCTCCTGCGGAAAACAAATCAAAATACTGGGTAAAATACAATAAAAAGATTTTAATACATTAGTTACCTGGCTAATTAGTAAAGGGAACTTGATGAAAGTAGACCCGAAGAGGTAATCAGAGAAATAAAGCCATCTTGTGCCTTGTGGACCATTTTTCAAACTGAATGTACTTCACCTTTGTGTTTTCCATCTCTATAAAGCTACAGAATGGAGAAAACAAAGCCCAACATTCACTCGAGGTCCCCCTTTATAAAACTAAGACTGCAAACGGTCACACTTCCATCATAACAGTGAAGTAGAAAAACATTCTGCCACCCAACACACCAAAAGCAAGATTGCCTAATTAAAAATTTAGCACTGGAAAGAGCGGGACTCGTCCCTAAAAATACTAAGCATAAGTCAGTCTTCACACAGTTTTGCATGCCAAATTCACACTTCTTGGCCAAGAAATCTCAAGTCAAGAAGTCAGTTAAAGTTGTCCTGGGCTGGTAGTTTTCCAGGTTCCTGGCAGAAACAAATTCAATCCTCTTTGGAGTATTAGTTTTATCACAGTCTGAAAGAATTCATGCAAAAATAAGTTCACAAAAATATGAGGCCACAGTAAACACTGTATTTGTCTCATGCTGCTAATAAAGACATACCTGATACTGGGTAATTTATAAAGAAAAGAGGCTTAATGGACTCATAGTTTCATATTGCTGGGGAAGCCTCACAATCATGGCAGAAGAGCAAGGATGTCTACAGTGGCAGCAGGCAAGATGAGAGCATGTGCAGGGGAACTCCTCTTTATAAAACCATTAGATCTCATGAGACTTATTCACTACCACGAGAACAGCATGGCAAAGACCCACTCCCATGGTTTAACTACCTCCGCTCAGGTCCCTCCCACAACACCTGGGAATTGTGAGAGCTACAATTCAAGATTAGATTTGGGTGGGGACACAGCCAAACCATATCTATACACACACACACACACACACACAGAGAGAGAGAGAGAGGGGGAGAGAGAGAGAGAGAGAGAGTACAGTATGAAGAGCAAAAGCCAATAGAACAGACCTTTTTAAAAATGTCTAAAAGGCTTTATGTCTAAATAAATTTAAAAGTGATTTAAAATATAAGGAAAGGGAAAGACACCATAGAAATGAAGCAGATTTTAAAAAAACAAATATAATTCTAAAAATTTAAAAATACAATAAAGAAAGCTTAAAACTCAATAGACAGATTTGAAAAGCTGACATGTGAATTTGAAAGATAGATCCAAATAAATCATCCAGAATGCAGCATAGAATGATCACGATAAAAATGATAAAACAGAGATCAAAAGACATGTCAAACCAGAGCTCTAAAAGGACAAGAAACAGGATAAGTGAAATAATATTTGAATTGATGGCTACTGTAAATTTTTCAGAAATAATAGAACACTTCTCCACAGATTGAAGAAGCTCAGTGAATTCTAAGCTTAATAATAAAAAGAAACTCATGGCTAAACACATCACAGGGAATCTGTAAATAAAAAAGACAAAAGAAATATCTGAAAAACAGCCAGAGAGAAAAGACAACTAAACTTCAGCTGAAGGACAGACACAATGAAAGCCAGAAGAAAGCAGAGCAGTATGTTCAAAGGGCTGAGGAAAAAAAAATTTTTTTTAATTATTTTAAACATCTTTCAAAAAGTGGGACAAGGAAAGCCATATTTAAACAAAAATATCCTAATAGACTGCTATAAATAGATACTCAGTAAGGGAAATTCTAATGAATATATTTTATGCAGAAGGAAATTGATCCCAGATGAAAGAACTAAGATGCAAAAAGAAAAGATCAATAAAGAAAACAGTAAGTATATAGATAAAACTAAATAAACATTGAGATAAATATAGAGATAAAATAAATATAGAGATAAAATAATAATATTATTATCTGGTGGGATTAAAATAAAGATAAAATAAACCTAAAATGCATGACAAAAATAATACATTTCAGGAATGGAATAGAGTTCACGCATTTTAAGACAATTGTATTGCTAGAAAAGAGGGTGACAATATGATTGACTAGCACTTGAGAAGCCAAATATATATGCTAAAATGTCTAGCATGACAATTAAAAGAATAGAAACAAAGTATATAACTTCTAAATTAGTAAAAGAGGAACATAGAATGAAAAAAACAAATACTCAAACCAAGAGAATCCACGGAAAAAAATGAAAAAGAAACAGAAAAGGTAGGACAAATAAAAAGCCCATGATAAGATGGTAAAAATAAATCCAAACATATTAATAACTACAAAAACAAATGTAAATGGATGAGATATGTAAGTGGAAGAAACATATTTTTTCAACTGTATTTTAAAAACCTGCTTAGATTGTTTAAAAAATTTAAAGGATTTTTTTACATATTTACGAAATAAATGGATATCTACATGATATCCACAAAAGGATATACAAAAAAGAAATAGCATGTACCCTTCATAAATATTAAGAACATGAAAGAAAGACTGAGCAAATGTTCCTGGTCAAAGAGACTAAAGAAATATGACAAGTAAATGTAATACCGAGTCCTAAATTGGATCCTAGACCAGAAAAATATTTTTTCCTTTGAAATATAGGCTACTAGAGGGCCAATGGTGAGATTTAGACAAAGTTTGAATATTAGGTAATAGTTCTAGATCAGTGTTTATTTCCTGATAGTGCCTCACCATGCCATGAGAAGCATGTGCCCTTTCTAGTCTCCTGATCCAAGAAAGGTGAGGGACATGCAGAGTACAGTTGCCCCAGTACAGCCACATGTATACAGTGAGAGGCTGAGCTGCCCCTGCTGCCACAGCCTGAAACAAAGCCACCCAGCTTAGATCAGTCAGTACCTAGATGACTCAAGATTCCTGGGAATAAATACAGATGCATGTGACATTGAGATTCGGGGTTGTCTATTTTGCTGCAATAAGTAACTGATACAATGACAAAGTTAGATTATTGCAGGAAGAAAATTTATTTTAACCTTAGAAAAATCAATTGGTCCAGTTGTGGTGGCTCAGGCCTGTAATCCTAGCACTTTGGGAGGCGGAGACGGGCAGATTGCCTGAGCTCAGGAGTTCGAGACCGGCCTGGGCAACATGAAAAAACCCTGTCTCTACTAAAAAAGACAACAACAACACAAAAAAATTAGCCAGGCATGGTGGCACACACCTGTAGTCCCAGTTACTCAGGAGGCCGAGGCACAAGAATTACTTGAACCTAGAGGTTGCAGTGAGCCAAGATCGCACCACTGCACTCCAGCCTGGGCGACAGAGTGAGACTCCATCAAAAAAAAAAAATCTATTGGTATAATTTACTATATGATTAGAGTAAAAGAAACAATGTGAACATCTCAGTAGGTACTGAAAAATATCATTCGATAACATTTAACATTCATTTGTGATGGTTAAAAAAATTAGGACTAGGAGAGCTTGCTCCAACAGATGTGTAAACCTATTATGAAACTATAGCAAATCAGATTGATATGGTTTGGCTGTGTTCCCACACAGCTAAATTTCATCTTGAATTGTAGCTCCCATAATTCCCACCTGTTGTGGGAGGGACCTGGTGGGAAATAATTGAATCATGGGGGCGGTTTTCCCCATACTGTTCTGGTGGTAGTGAATAAGTCTTGCAAGATCTGATGGTTTTCTAAGAGGAAACCACTTTCTGTTGATTCTCATTCTCTCTTGTCTGCCACTACTAAGATGTGCCTTTTGCCTTCTGTCGTAAGTGTAAGGCCTCCCCAGTCACATGCAACTGTGAGTCCATTAAACCTCTTTTTCTTTATAAATGATCCAGTCTCAGGTATGTCTTTATCAGCAGTGTGAAAATGGACTAATACAAAGATAATGTAGTATTTGCACAGAAATAGCCAAATAGAAAAAATGAGAGAGTCCAGAAAAGGATACACTAATATACAGACAATTTATAATGAAGAGAGGTAGTATGGCAGTTTAATTAGGAAAAGACAAGTAGGTCTTCAATAAATGTGACAGTAAGTTATCCAAATGAAAAATATTAAATTGCACCTCTATATCACATGATATATAAGAATCAATTCCAGATGGATTAAAGATCTAAATGTGGTAAGGAAAAACCCCATAACATCATACAAGTAACAAAGGAGAATATATTTACGACCTCAGGATAAAGAAGTATTCCTTAAACAAGACATAAAAAGCAGAAACTGTAACAATAGAGACTAATAAATCATACTACATTAAATAAGAACTTCTGTTCATGAAAGACACCATAAAAAATAAAAGCAGCCACAGAGCAGGAAAAGATATTTGCATCATCAGCGAAGGACTAGTATCCAGAATATACTAGTATCCAGAAAAGCACTATAGTTGACAGGAAGAATAATGAAATTAAGCAAAATTCCAACTAGCAATATGGAGAATAATAGCTTTTGATTTTATTAGAACTGTGGAATCGCTGAACTCAGTGCTCTTTAGAGATCATCATGCTAACTACCCAATCTCTTTATTTCACAGCTGAGCACGCCAAGATCCAAGGAAGGAGCCCAGAGCAGACTGCACAGCATGCCCTGTGCCCCAACCACACTGCTTCCTCTTCCGAATCTCTGCACCCCCAAGTCTGGTTCAGTTTTGAGTTTCAGGCATGGTCTCATCCCTTTGGCACTTCTTTATTCCAACCAAAAGTTCTCAGCTTCAAAAAAAAGATGAGCATGTTCAATGACGAGAAAGTCTGTTTGATGGTAATCTGTAAATTTGCCACATAAAGCATAAACCTTACCACATAAAGCTTAAAGGAACACCCACTGAATTCCAACTGCTGAAAGTTGTCCTGCCCTTTCCTTATGGTCTCCAAAGACAAGCTTGTTTTATGTCACAAAAATCTCCCCTTTCTATGGGCCAGATTCAATTTGTCACTACTTGGATATTGAACACTTTTTGCAAATTAAAGAGAAAGTCACCTCAGGCAACTTTCAAGTAGAGGCTTATTGGGGACTTGATGATACTGCAAATCATTAAAGAACTTAGGTTCTGTACCCCTGCCCTCACTGATCAAATAGAGGCCACTGCTTTGAAGCCAGCAAGGACCCATGGGACTGACTTAATGCTTTTTGCCTTCAGCTTCTGAAGCTTATCACATTACTAATGTTTGAGTCTCTAATCCAGCTGGCTAGTTTAATCATCTTGAAGTAAAATAATACTATTAACATTGTTAGAAATGATTTATTTTTCTCTGTGCTCTTACCCTCTGCTTGATTCATTCATTTTATTTATAATTTTGCAATTACAAGTTTTCTTCTCAGAATCCTTCTCTTTCCCATTGTTAAAAGTAAAGACTATATCATCCTCTTTCTTTTATAATCTGTTGCTATGGAAATAGGGATTAATGATCCAGGGATAATAAAGAAAGAAAAAAGGTATTCTCTAAGAGAAAATTTGTTTCCAAATATAATCCCTTTTAGTTAAGCTGTCATATAAAATCATACAATTATTGGTTGAGCACAGTGCAACTAGAAAGGTGCTAGGTCCTAATCAAAACAGAGAAGATAAAGACCATGAAATTGTATTTTAGCTAAGGAAATAAGACACATGACACAATGTACAAGCAGTATGTTACTGTTCATATGTAATTTGGGTGTAAAAATTTGTGTTTGAGATCATAAAAGCAGTAAAAAAAAAAAAAAATCAAAGTATACAAACAAAAACAGATGGGCTTGATATGAACAACCACTGGAATAAGATTTAAAGCCAAAATCAGGAATTTTAATTTCATAACTAGAAGTTAGGATTGGAGAGAAAGTGTAATATGATCAGCATGCTGCGCAAGAAAGATGACTTCATTTGTTCATTTGGTGAACATTTTCTGAAGGCACAGTAGGCTTTGTGTCCTGGGCTAAGCATGAGGGCATGGGACAATAGAAACTGTCAATGAAATAATGAAATAATAGAATTGACAATGAAATAATGTTGTCTTGAGTCATCTTCCCCAGAAGCAGAGCCTGAGACAGGAATTTGGGTATACATGGCTATTAAGGCAGTGCTCTAAGAGAGAGGGAATAAGGAAAATGGAATACGGCAGGGGAAGTAAGTAAGTGGCATCTGCAGGTGTCTGGCTTCACTGTATCCCACAGAGAGCCCTAGAGCATGAACATTCTCCCAGGTAGTCCCCATGTTGAAGCAAAGGGAAAAGCCTTTTGAACTCTTCTATCAGCCAGCAACTGGCTGGAGCCTGCCCCTAGGGGAAATAGGTGAGTAATTTACCAAATGAGTTAGCTCTGACTGCGATTCTTTAGAGGGGCAAGAGTGAGCCAATGCTCACAACAGTTGAAGGATGGATGACCTAGGGTTGTAAAGGGGATCTGAGTGGGGCACCAACAGTGTATAAAATGTCTTCAAATTATTAAGACAGGTTACTTTGAACTCAGAATCCTATACCTAGCCCTCAAGCCCATCTCTGAAAGAACTACTGGAGGGCACTACTGTGGCAACAAGATACATGAATGTGAGAAAGAGGACTGTATGGCGTAAAAGAAAAAATGATGAAAAAGAAATGTGAAAAAATTCTAGTGAAGTCCAATAATGCAGAATGCAGAATGCAAGAAAAATTGGGGAACTAAAATCCCGGATGATTACAATATGGCAGATGGTGGTCAAAGATGGGAAAGAGAAAAATCAGTGTCCTAACGTTAGTAGCAGTGTATCTGGTGAGAAGGCAATAAATACTAATATGTTGTGGTGCTGTCCAATATGGTTGTTATGGCATGAACTGTGTCCCCACAAAATTCCTATGTTGAAGCCCTAACTCTCTACATCTCAGAATGTGAGCGATTTGGAGACAGGACCTTTAAAAGGCTGATTATGTTAAAACGAGGCCCTTAGGATAAGCCCTGATCTAATCTGACTGATGTCCTCAGAAGAAGAGATTAAGACTCACAAGGAGATATCAGGGATGCAAGCACACAGAGGAAAGACCATGTGAGGACGCGCAAGAAGAAGGCATCTGCAAGGCAGGTAGAGAGGCTTCAGAAGAAACCAGACCTGCTGACACCTTGATCTTGGACTTCCAGTCTCCAGAACTGTGAGAAAATTAATTTCTGTTGTTTAAGCCATCCAATCTATAGTATTTTGTTATGGCAGCCCAAGAAAATTAATACAATAGTAGTCAGTGGCTACATGTGGCTATTTAATTTACATTAATTAAAATTAAATAAAGGTAAAACTTCAGTTTCTCCCTCATGTTAGCCACACATCAAGTACTCAATAGCCACATGTAGCTAGTGGTTACTGTATAAGACAGTATCAGAGATATAGAACATTTTCTTCATTGCAGAAATTTCTATTGGACAATGTTGCCTGCAGGTTGAAGGCAATTTTTGTTTAAATATATGGGATAAAAATTTTAAAGATAATGATTAAGAAAATAAAGATATCTATAATCCCAGCACTTTGGGGGGCTAAGGTGGGTGGACTGCTTGAGCCCAGGAGTTTGAGATCAGCCTGGGAAACGTGGTGAAACCCCATCCTACAAAAAATTAGCTGGGCATGGTAGCACACGCCTGTAGTCCCAGCTACTCCGGAAGCTGAGGTGGGAGTATCACTTGAGCCCTGGAGGTCAGGCTGCAATAAGCCAGGATCACACCACTGCATTCCAGCCTGGGCAACAGAGTGCAATCCAGAAAGAGAGAGAAAGGAAGATGGGAGGGAGGGAAGGAGGGAAAATATAACCTAAAAAGGCTTATTGCAGGAATGCAAAGATGGTTCAACATTAAGAAATCTCATTAACAAAGGGGAAAATATCAGGATTTCCCCATTTTAATAATAATTAACATTCAAAATGCATTGTGAATATAGCAACCTTTTGAACTAAAAATCACATTCTACATTTTAAAAAACTTTTTATAAGGTAGGAATGGAAAGAAAATTTTGTTTCTGGATAGAAGCTAAATAACTATCAGAAACACATAAATCACTTTGGATGGTGAAATATTGGAGGCATTCTAATTGAATAGGACAAAGAAAATGTATCAAATAAGAGTTCTTGGGTTGCAAGCAACAGAAATCAATTCTAATTTAATCCCCCAAAAAGGAGGACTTATTGGAAAGCTTTTAGAAAGCTCACAAAATCAACCAGAAGGCTGGAGAAATGGTTCAAAAACAGACATGGAATTACTTGGTTTCTGGAAATAATAAATTCTAGTTTTTCTTGCTTGCTTACACATGAGTTACTTTCTTCAAAAGTCAAAGTCCTAGAACAGTAACTCCAACTGACTAAGCTTAGATCATAGGCCTTCCCTTTGGATGTGCAGAACCACTGATGGAAAAGGTTTTATGAAAGAAAAGTCCAAGATCCCGTCCTTCCATGATAGGAAAACAGGGTCCCCTGGATCTACCTTTCTTCAATGACTGCTTACAATAGAGGAGAGAAAATTTCAAAAAAATAATCAATTGGTCAAGGCACTGTAGGATGCTGGGATACAAACAAACAAACAAAAATTCTTGCACAATTTCCTAGCCTGTCTCATAAGGCAAATAAAAAAGGGGGCGGAGGGGGAGAGAGAGAAAGAAAAAGGAAATAAGTGGTAAATATCTCAAGAGAATAAATTAAACATTCATTATTTGAAGATAATATAATAGTCAAGTTGGAAATGATAATAGAATAAACTGAAAATTATTAATATATTATATTCATAATTAGCGCAAGCACACTAAAGTGGCTGAATCCAAAATCAAACCAAAAAAAATCAATAAATTTCTTATATGCCAGCAATTACCAAGTAGAAAATGTAATGGGAAAAAAATCCATTTACAGAAACAGCAAAACCTAGGAAATACTCAGAAACAATCTTTTTTTCTTTTTTTTTTTTTATTATACTTTAAGTTCTAGGGTACATGTGCACAACGTGCAGATTTGTTACATATGTATACATATGCCATGTTGGTGTGCTGCACCCATTAACTCGTCATTTACATTAGGTATATCTCCTAATGCTATCCCTCCCACCTCCCGACAATAGGACCCGGTGTGTGATGTTCCCCTTCCTGTGTCCAAGTGATCTCATTGTTCAGTTCCCACCTATGAGTGAGAACATGCGGTGTTTGGTTTTCTGTTCTTGTGATAATTTGCTGAGAATGATGGTTTCCAGCTGCATCCATGTCCCTACAAAGGACATGAACTCATCCTTTTTTATGGCTGCATAGTATTCCACGGTGTATATGTGCCACATTTTCTTAATCCAGTCTGTTACTGATGGACATTTGAGTTGATTCCAAGTCTTTGCTATTGTGAATAGTGCTGCAATAAATGTATGTGTGCATGTGTCTTTACAGCAGCATGACTTATAATCCTTTGGGTATATACCCAGTAATGGGATGGCTGGGTCAAATGGTATTTCTAGTTCTAGATCCTTGAGGAATTGCCACACTGTTTTCCACAATGGTTGACCTAGTTTACAGTCCCACCAACAGTGTAAAAGTGGTCCTATTTCTCCACATCCTCTCCAGCACCTGTTGTTTCCTGATTTTTTAATGATCGCCATTCTAACTGGTGTGAGATGGTGTCTCATTGTGGTTTTGATTTGCATTTCTCTGGTGGCGAGTGATAATGAGCATTTTTTCATGTGTCTGTTGGCTGTATGAATGTCTTCTTTTGAGAAGTGTCTGTTCATATCCTTTGCCCACTTTTTGATGGGGTTGTTCATTTTTTTCTTGTAAATTTGATTGAGTTCTTTATAGGTTCTGGATATTAGCCCTTTGTCAGATGAGTAGATTGCAAAAATTTTCTCCCATTTTGTAGGTTGCCAGTTCACTCTGATGGTAGTTTCTTTTGCTGTGCAGAAGCTCTTTAGTTTAATTAGATCCCATTTGTCAATTTTGGCTTGTTGCCATTGCTTTTGGTGTTTTAGACATGAAGTCCTTGCCCATGCCTATGTCCTGAATGGTATTACCTAGGTTTTCTTCTAGGGTTTTTATAGTTTTAGGTCTAACATTTAAGTCTCCAATCCATCTTGAATTAATTTTCATATAAGGAATAAGGAAAGGATCCAGTTTCAGCTTTCTACTTATGGCTAGCCAATTTTCCCAGCACCATTTATTAAATAGGGAATCCTTTCCCCATTTCTTGTTTCTCTCAGGTTTGTCAAAGATCAGATGGCTGTAGATGTGCAGTATTATTTCTGAGGGCTCTGTTCCATTCCATTGGTCTATATCTCTGTTTTGGTACCAGTACCATGCTGTTTTGGTTACTGTAGCCTTGTAGTATAGTTCGAAGTCAGGTAGCATGATGCCTCCAGCTTTGTTCTTTTGGCTTAGGATTGTCTTGGCAATGCAGGGTCTTTTTTGGTTCCATATGAACTTTAAAGCAGTTTTTTCCAACTCTATGAAGAAAGTCATTGGTAGCTTAATGGGGATGGCATTGAA